TCAAAAAATCATGGAACAGACTTTGCAGGGCATCAGGGGGGTAGCAGTTTTCTTGGATGACATTGTAGTATCAGGGGAATCTGAAGAACAACATTATGAGAATTTAAAATTGGTTTTTGAACGATTGCAGTCGGCAGGATTTACTGTGCGAAGAGATAAGTGCAAATTTTTTGAGAAAGAGATTTGTTATTTGGGTTTTAAAATAAATAAACATGGTTTAAAAAAGATGGACAGTAAAGTTCAAGCTATCACGGAGGCAGAAAGACCTCAAGATGTAAGCGAAGTTCGTAGTTTCATAGGATTGGTGAATTATTATGCAAAGTTTGTCCCCAATTTGGCAAAAATTTTGAGCCCAATTTACGAACTTTTGAAGCAAAATCAACGATTCTCATGGACGCGAGAATGTGAGGCGAGCTTCGTGAAAATAAAGAAAATCATGGCCCAAGACATCACAATTTATCATTTCAACCCAAAATATCCTATTGTGGTTACAACAGACGCTAGCTCCAAAGGCATCAGCGCAGTACTAAGTAACCTCATTAACGGAGAAGAAAGAATAATTGCGTGTGTTTCCAGAACCCTTCTCAGTTCGGAAAAAAAATTATTCCATGATTCATTTGGAAGGTTTGGCCATTTATTTTGCATTGAATAAGTTCTTCGATTATCTGGCTTGTTCCCCTTTCATTCTGAGAACAGATCATAAGCCTTTGGTTACAATCTTCGGTGAGCACAAGGGAATTCCTCAAATAGCAGCAAACAGGTTGCAGCGATGGGCGGCGTTCCTCTCTATGTTTGATTACAGAATCGAACATATCAAGGGCTCCCAAAATCCCATAGCAGATTACCTATCAAGGAAGCCCCTAGCTACAAAAGAGCCAGAGAACCTGCGGGACTCCTACCTAAACTTCACAGAAACGGTGGATTCATGGCCAGTGAACAATGATGAAATTAGGGAATGCACCGGAAATGATGAGGAACTGCTAGAAGTAATGAAAAGGTTAAAAACCAGAAATTGGCCAAAACACGCAAAAGACTTCCTTGAACCATATTTCCATAGGCTGGAAAACCTCCATATTGATAATGATGTTTTGTTCTTTGGTCATAGAATTGTCATACCAACAGAATTAAGACAGAGATTCCTCCTGGAGCTTCATTCGTCCCATTTTGGAATTTCAAAAACCAAAGCCCTGGCTAGGTCATATATATATTGGCCTGGCATTGATGTTGAAATTGAGAACATGATTAAGTCTTGTAACCTTTGTTTGGAAAACAAACAAAATCCGCCGAAAGCAAAGTTAACCCCATGGCCTTTAAGTGAAGCCCCTTTTGACAGAATCCACATCGATTTTTTTGGTCCAGTTAACAACAAAATGTACTTCATTTTGGTGGACTCATTTTCAAAATGGGTAGAAGTATTCCAAATAAGCAATACAACGTCGCAGAAGACAGAGGACGTTCTAAGAGAGGTTTTTGCGAGGTTTGGTTTGCCAAAATTGGTGGTGAGCGATAATGGACCTCAGCTGGTCTCGGAACACATAAAGAAATTTTTCAAAAAAAACGGCGTTGAACACATTACCATCCCACCATATCATGCCCAGAGCAATGGAATGGCAGAAAATGGCGTAAAAACAATCAAAAATAAATTAAAAACAGCTTTTCAAGACCCTAAAAACCAAGGCATTCCAGCGAGCACAATTTTGTCAAGAATACTATTCACTTACAGGACCACGCCTCACAGCGTCACAGCAAAAACACCTGCAGAAATGATGTTCGGGAGAAGGACAATAAGAACGAGATTGAGTCAGGTCACAGAAAAAAAAAATGCCAGAGAAATCACAGAAAAACCCAAAGACGACACCTGGCACAAAAAACTCAACCACCAAGAGGCACAAAAGAAAAATTTTGGAGGCAAAAATCGCCCATACTTCAAGACTGGATCAGCAGTCTATATCAGAAACTACAGTGTAAGAAACACCCAGAAATGGATCAGGGCGCAAATCGTTGAACAAATCGGAAGATCAGTTTTTCGATGCGTGACAAGTAATGGACATACATATAAAAGACACATTAATCAAATCCAACCTTGTACGGACTCTGAAGAGCCCAGGGTGCAACCACGGCCTGCACAAAATAACTCATTCAAAGCTGGTCCAAGCTATTTCATTAATTTACCCATCACTCACTTAAAAACAAATAAAATTTCGAATGAAAGTAGCCTCAATCTCTCCCAAAACACTCCTGAGTCTCCACAAACTTCAGATGGCGACATCAACTTCCATAATAATAGCTCAAATAACAATAGTTTTAAGTCAATTTCTAGCTATGAAACTGTTAGGGCCTCAAGTTCTGAGTCTCCAGACACTCCTGTAACTAAGCTATCACAGAGATTTTTGACGGGGGAGCGGATTGGGGAGGGCTCCCTATCAACACCCCACACAAGTTCCAGCAGACTGAAAAGAAAAGTCAGAAGGCCTATAAAATTGGCTGATTATCATCTCAACTCAGAGTCTGACTCAGATACTTGAGATGCTTTTTCCAGTGAAATTTCAATTCATATTGTTCAATATTCTGGTTAAAATTAGCGAATTTATGAGAACAATCCTTTTGTCGTTTGTCCTTTTATTTATGTTTGTTTAATTGAGTTCCTTTGTTTTAACGAAACCTTTTTTTTTAAGGCGTTCAAAATTGTGCACTTTTGTTTATACATGATTTTAAGGTTTTGACTATTGGATTGGTCTATGTAAAATTTTATAGGGATTAAATTTTTTTTTGTTCTTTGCAGGTGACACAGAGGTATTTTATAAATTGTAAATCCCCTAAGTAATTTATTTTAGTAACTTATGTTTTCTCAAAATTGCTTTGTTAGCTTTAAGGTTTTAAGGAATGTATTAAAGGCGCACTCCCAGAAAGATTCTGAGTGTGAGGGTGTGGTAATCGACAATGAGTTCACCCAGAGTCAAGACCAGGCTAAAGAAAACGCTACAAACTACACGCTCGGAACCTTGATGTCAAACGTCATGACGTGACTCCTCCACCCTGGGAGGACTGAACTCGACAGCGGCCAGTCTGCTACCATTCCCCAACATGAGTAGAGGTTACGTAGGCCCCTGTACTTTCAGCCCTCAATAAAGTAGACCATTCAGTAGTAGTGACTTTTATTTCTCGCGGTTATTACAGTTACTTTACCGCGGCCGTTTTGGAACGTGTAAAGCCAACCGTTTTTGGCACGCTGGAGCCGAACTTGAACGCAATATGCCATCTTTGGCTTGGCTTTAGCCGTTTTTGAACGCAGCCCTGGAACCACATACTGTGGAACCAACCCAAGTCAAATTTGAACATGCCCGTAGAAGAGGGATGTAGAGGCCAGAGCCGCTTTCCAGTATGGGAGTGTGACGCCCGGAGCTACTCGGGGCGTTGAGCTCCCGGGCTGTACGGTACGTACGCGTCAACCTATCAGCTGTCACATCCGTGGGTGGTTATTTATCTATTTATTTCTTGTTCAAGATTGAAAATTTTAAAATATATAGTTTTGATTCTCCTCCATTTTTGATAAATAAAAAAACGGCAACATGTATTTGGCCGACCAAATGTTAATTTTTCAATATTCGCCATACTCAATCGTTTGGTGGTCGTTTGGTGGTTTTTGGTATCCCACTTTTAATATTTGGTGGTAATTACTTAGGCAGTAATTAACAATTAAAAATTTCATATGACGTTGGCCGACATAACCTGATTCTAATTTATTTTTTGGCCCATTTATAGTCAAATCGAACGGAAATCGTTTGGTGGTCACGAATTTACCGAATTTAGCGTTTGTTAGTCAATAATACCGGAGTAATTAATCAATTAAGATTGTTTTCTGATATATTTTAATTAATCGTCGCGCATGCGCATATATTATCTGTTTTTCATTGAGCCGCCTCGATCGCGGCGTTGCCGTTGCGATCCGGAACTGGCGGTGGGCCGGTGGCGTGTCAACTCGCGAGTCGCGAGTCGCGGACTCTGCTTGTACTGGATACTAGATTACTGGATTGTCGTTGTCGTGGTCAGTGGTCACCACAATAGCAAAAATGAAATTACCTAATTATTCGTTGATTGTAATGAAATAATTGATTTGATTGAAAATTATAGAATAGGTAGGCAACGCCGCGATCGAGGCGGCTCAATGAAAAACAGATAATATATGCGCATGCGCGACGAATAATTAGAATATATCAGAAAACAATCTTAATTGATTAATATCTCCGGTATTATTGACTACCAAACGTTAAATTCGGTAAATTCGTGACCACCAAACGATTTCCGTTCGATTTGACTATAAATGGGCCAAAAAATAAATTAGAATCAGGTTATGTCGGCCAACGTCATATGAAATTTTGAATTGTTAATTATTACTGCCTAAGTAATTACCACCAAATACTAAAAGTGGGATACCAAAGACCACCAAACGACCACCAAACGATTGAGTAAGGCGAATATTGAAAAATTAACATTTGGTCGGCCATACACATGTTGCCTAAAAAAACAAACTGCACAAACAAACAGATAATTTATTTTTAAAATTTGACATATTTGACACCAAGACAGGCGTCTCACGCCATGATACTGGAACGGTACAAATCTAGTGCGTGGCGCCCCTGAGGTGCTCTAGAGCGCGCCAATGTGCATACTGGAAAGCTGCTAAGGAGAATACTCACTCTTAAGCCGGAGTCTCATGCATCCGTTTTCCGACAAAAGATGTCCGAAAAACCTTCTATTCTGACTTTGACATAATCGTATGAAAATATGTCAAAATAGAAGGTTTTTCGGACGTCTTTCGTCGGAAAACGGATGCATGAGACTCCGGCTTTAGGAGTGCTTATCGGCTTCGTTTATGGTAATCGCCGCTATATTGGTGTGTCACCATTTCCGACGTCATAACTAAGTCGTCAGATGTTTAAACAGCCTACGTCAAGGCGAGAAATAACATGCTGCATTCGTCACAACTGGTATTTTGTCTTGGAGAGTGGGGGGATTTGTTACCCACACAGGCGTTATGAGGATAAGCCTTCCTGTCTGTAGTAGTAGTGTGTATCATCCTTGCCGTAGAATTGGCGATTGCGATTGACAAATTGACAATTGACATTTGTGAAAATTTTCAAAAGAAAAAAAAACGAAAAGAAATTCGGCATTTGATTTTGAATGGAAAATGGAACAAAACAAAAAAAATTATATGTTGGTACTAGGTATCTACTTCTATTTGATTTCCATACTTTCTTTTCTTGTCTTTGTTCAATAATCTTTATGGTAAAAATAGGATAGTGATAGTAGATAGTGGCCAGTGGCAACTAGTAAACAAAAAATCAATTTCCTGCTGTATACAAACAAGTTCGTTGATTCTTCAAGCTCAAGAAGGTGAATTTTATGCGGGTAAGTACATAATTTAAATTTATTATTACATTTGTTCTACTAATAAATTTGTTTATAGAGAAGACGTTAAATAAACATAATGGAGGAAGAAACCAAAACATCAGCTTTAGCGGTACTAGCATCACCATCACCAAACATTCCATTAGAAGAATCACTGGTCACCAATGAAGCATTTGCAAACACTACTTTAACCAACATATTCAGATTCCTAAATTATAAAGATCTGCTAAATTGCTCAAAAGTATGTCCATTATGGAAGCAGATTGCTTTTCAACAAACTCTCTGGCAACATTTCACTTTCTACTCTTGCCACAGACATGTAAAACAACTATTTAAATCAGAGTATGGCCAAAATATAAGAAATTTATATTTGCTGGGGCACACCGATTCATTAGAAATGGAAAATGTTAAGCGTCTTATTATATCATATTGTCACTTTGATGAGCTAAAACTAATATCAGAAATCAACAAAGAAATTAAAGAATTTCATGTTGAGAGATTATATCTGAAAAATCACGAATTTGAATTGATAGGCCAAATTGAAAACTTAATTCATGTGAATATTAGCACTGGGATATCTGACTCTGATAGACATAAAATAGTTTCTGATGTCGGACTAAAGAAACTTACAAAGTTGCAACATCTTGGTTTGTATCTCGGTTTGTATGCAACCTGTGATGAATCATTTTGGGAAAATATTGTTAAGATGAGTACTTTGAAATCATTACAACTCACTGCTTCCTTTTATCAGGAGGCGCCTGATCCAAGTTGGGTTGCTCCTCTTTTTGGACCAAAATTTCTCATCAGTAATTTGCAATTGCTCAATAAATTAGAAATACACAGTATGACTTATATCCACGAGTATGATGTTCTTAAAAAAATTAAATTATTGGCAAATTTGAAAGAACTAGTTTTAGACGAAGTATCTGTTTCAAAAAATGGAAGGAGCAATTTTGGTAGCCTTCTGGGGCAGTGTCAAAATCTTGAACGTCTAACGATTTCTCTTACTATTCCAAGGGATGAAAGTCCTGATATACATGATATTGAAGAAATTTTATATATTGCAGCTTTGGAAAATTCTGAAATTGTTAAAGGAGTATTGTCTTTGAACAAAACCCTCAAACATTTTTGTTGGTTTTTAGAGTACCATGAAGCATTAGATTTCATTACAATTTACTCGCGACATAAAAAAGATGCTGTTGCGTTCCACAGTTTTAGAGTAATCACTAAGAATCAAGTAAGAACTTACGTTGATACCAGAGGTCCTGGGTATATAACAGTTCCAAAACTATCTAAAATATTCAAGAAGATGCTTCCAGATACCCAAGTTGAGATATGGACTCCTGACGAATCATGTAATGTCTACAAGCATAAAAGATGCTATGAATGCTATAAATGAAAGTAGGCTAGAAGGTAGAGAAAACTTTTGTATGGGGTGTTTCGAATTCGTGACACATTATTGTGATCTCGGAAATGGTTAGAGATACAGGGTTCGCTGAACTAGGGCAAAGTTGCGTAATTTGATGCTTAACAAAATGCCGCTTTGATATTTAGGTTATTCCGAATACTCTCGCAGATATCCGATAAAAAAACAAAATTTTGCAAAATTGTTTCTATTTTTTCCTGACTTTATTTAAAGTGATATTTCAGAAAATATATCAGTTCATCATGAGCCAATTTCAGGCGATTGACCAGTCAGTCATCTTGACAGATAAGTAATGGATTTGGTTGACAAATGACGCTTAATTAATGGTTTATCTGTCAAGATGACCGATCGGTCAATCGCTTTAAGGCGATTATAGCCACTTTTTCTCCCCTACAAGATACTATCATCAAATTTGAAATATGACGTTCCGTCTTTAGGCCACCATCATCAACTTTATTTTTTCAAATGCGACCTTGCTTTTTTTGATTCATATTTTTAGAGCTTCTGATGTCCCAAAACCTATGACGTGTCACATTTATTCCAAAAATTATTTTTTATTTTTTTACTTTTTAGTTATTTCCTACCAAAGTCTAAAATTCTCTTCTCTGTCCTAAATATCAAAGCGGCATTTTGTTGAGCATCAAATTTCGCAACTTTGTCCCAATTTAACCAACCCTGTATCTCTCACCGTTTCCGAGATCATAATGATGTGCCTCGAATTTCAAACACCCTGTACAGTGGTGGGCATAAGTCACCTGGGCTGGGACTCTCGTAACAGATATCGATAGAGATTGTTATACCCATCCCTATGGCACGTGTTGTTTTCCTCTCTCTTCTTGATAGGGAGAGGGGATATCAATAGAGAAAATATCTCTATTTGTTACAGAGTCCTAGTGGCAGCCTTCAAAACAGTGCATCATGCGTCAGTCCCACCACTCTCGCCTGGATTTAACGTACGTTAGATAGAACGCGGCCAGCTGGGCATATGCAATCATGCAATTACGTACTCCCGGTTTTGTTGCGTGCTAGATTGTTATTTTCGAGTGAAATGGCATTTAAATTTGTGGAAATTTGCCAGATGACTTATGCCCATGCCTGTATTTATTTTGGTTGAAATGTTTATATTATGTGATAGGCAGAGACTAGAGACTATACCTAGGTATTAGGAACCTGGACTGGTAGAATATATGTATAAACAATAAGACAATTCTGGCTGTGGCCTATTTGATACTGTAAATTGTGAATTGTAGATAATAAGTTATTTCTTGTATAAGTTTGATAACTATGGACATCAGAGGGTAACAATAACTTGATATACCTATCAAACCAATTAAGTACAGGGTCTTATAAAGGGTGAAAATACCAATAAAATGTGCTGCACTAATTATAAGGAGCAGACCCTGTACATTTAGTTTTATATATTAGAGTGTTGATATCGCACTACACTTTAAGGATAGGTAAAAGTTGGATTTAGGTTTCCAGTGTAACTCTTAGATTTAGATTTGCAAAAATGTTATAAGCGAGGCTTACTAATAGAATACTAGAATACATAAATCTTTTATAACAAAACTAGGCAAATCATTGTCGGCCTAAATCAAGAGTTACCTAAAAGATATCTTATTGAATTTGTTTGATAACTTTAGACAAAAACAAAACCTTGATACAAAAAATGTGGAACTTGTCAATTGAATCAATAATTATAATTAACTCAGTTTTTTTTTTTATTTGTCAAACAACACATTGTGTTTATTACATTACAATCTAGTCAGTAAGACTAATTAGCAATTTTGTTTTAACCTAATTTACTATAAAGTTTACAATTCTTGAGGTTCACTCAACAGTTTTCCCCACTTTGCTTAAACTGTAAATCACAATTTTGATGTGTTTATAGCACTATTTTGTTGTGTTTTTCAATTTCAGTTCACTAGCTCGAACGGCTTCACCCTTCTCAGTCTTCTAACTAGCTCAGTATTGTCTAGGAGCTCAATCACTTCCACATTCACATGCCGATGTAGTCTATCTTCATGGCTTTTTGCGTACTTTCTTATAGTCTCTGTTACAGTATCAATTCCTAGTTCCCGATGTAGATCACTATTTCGAACGTACCAAGGTGCATTAACAATGTTTCTTAGTACTTTATTTTGGAATCTTTGAATAACTTTTATGTTACTATCTTTAGTGCAACCCCAAAGTTGAATTCCATATGCCCATACTGGTTTCAGTATTTGCCTATAAAGTAGTAACTTGTTATGTATGGTTAAATTGGACGTCCTTCCAATTAACCAGTACATTTTTCTATACTTAAATTCACGCTCTTGCCTTTTTTTCTTAACATGTGCTTTCCAGCGCAATTTCGCATCAAGCGTCATACCAAGATATTTAGCTTGATTTGAATATGGTATAGGGGTGTCATTATTTGTGATTTGTATGTGATTTACGTTTGTGTTTGTAAAATCAACGTGAATTGATTTGGTTTCATTCAATTTTATTCGCCATTTTTTGGTCCAATTTTGAACTTCACTGATAGCGTTCTGCAGTTTTTCTGTTGATTGTTCAATACTTTTTTCCACTGTAATTAAACCAGTATCGTCGGCGAATGTTGCTAAATGAGAATTTTCTGGTTTTGGGATGTCGCATGTAAATAATAAATATAAGTAGGGACCTAGCACGCTACCCTGAGGTACACCTTCTTTTATTTTTCGTAAATTTGACTCAAAATCTTCCTGTTTGACTCTGAAATGTCTATCACACATATATGATTCCAAAATATCAGAATATTGTTTTGGCAGAAACAGCTTTAGTTTATAGTTTAAGCCTCCATGCCAAACTTTGTCAAATGCCTGCGCTACATCGAGGAAAACTGCGGAACAGACTTTTCCCTCTTCCAGCGATTTTTCTATTAAATTCGTTATTCTGTGTACTTGGTCGATCGTAGAGTGCTTGTCGCGGAATCCAAATTGATGAGTTGGAATGATTTCCTGTCTTTCTATGATCGGTTTTATTCTTTTTAGCAGTATCTTTTCATAAAGCTTAGATAAAACGGGCAATAATGATATTGTTAGAAAGATTTTTTTCAGGTAATGACCAACGTGAATACAGGAACACAACGGTCCCTGTTTGGGAATCGACCCACTGAGCAGTGGACCCAGACTTCCCGTGCCAATCCTTGACACGTTTCGTCCTTGTTAGGACTCATCAGAAGGACATAGGCTGAAGCTCCCTGTCCAAGCAAAATTGAACTTCGTTGACCAGTCAGAAACAACTACTCCGAGGGCAAATACCCTTACTGGCGTTGAACTACACTGATTGGTCTGAGCTTTCGTTGGCAATGAAAATTGTTAGAAAGATTTTTTTCAGGTAATGACCAACGTGAATACATGAACACAACAGTCCCTGTTTGGGAATCGACCCACTGAGCAGTGGACCCAGACTTCCCGTGCCAATCCTTGACGCGTTTCGTCCTTGTTAGGACTCATCAGAAGGACATAGGCTGAAGCTCCCTGTCCAAGCAAAATTGAGCTTCGTTGACCAGTCAGAAACAACTACTCCGAGGGCAAATACCCTTACCGGCGTTGAACTACACTGATTGGTCTGAGCTTTCGTTGGCAATGAAAATTGTTAGAAAGATTTTTTTCAGGTAATGACCAACGTGAATACATGAACACAACGGTCCCTGTTTGGGAATCGACCCACTGAGCAGTGGACCCAGACTTCCCGTGCCAATCCTTGGCGCGTTTCGTCCTTGTTAGGACTCATCAGAAGGACATAGGCTGAGGCTCCCGGTCCAAGCAAAATTGAACTTCGTTGACCAGTCAGAAACAACTACTCCGAGGGCAAATACCCCTACCGGCGTTGAACTACACTGATTGGTCTGAGCTTTCGTTGGCAATGAAAATTGTTAGAAAGATTTTTTTCAGGTAATGACCAACGTGAATACAGGAACACAACGGTCCCTGTTTGGGAATCGACCCACTGAGCAGTGGACCCAGACTTCCCGTGCCAATCCTTGACGCGTTTCGTCCTTGTTAGGACTCATCAGAAGGACATAGGCTGAAGCTCCCTGTCCAAGCAAAATTGAGCTTCGTTGACCAGTCAGAAACAACTACTCCGAGGGCAAATACCCTTACCGGCGTTGAACTACACTGATTGGTCTGAGCTTTCGTTGGCAATGAAAATTGTTAGAAAGATTTTTTTCAGGTAATGACCAACGTGAATACAGGAACACAACGGTCCCTGTTTGGGAATCGACCCACTGAGCAGTGGACCCAGACTTCCCGTGCCAATCCTTGACGCGTTTCGTCCTTGTTAGGACTCATCAGAAGGACATAGGCTGAAGCTCCCTGTCCAAGCAAAATTGAGCTTCGTTGACCAGTCAGAAACAACTACTCCGAGGGCAAATACCCTTACCGGCGTTGAACTACACTGATTGGTCTGAGCTTTCGTTGGCAATGAAAATTGTTAGAAAGATTTTTTTCAGGTAATGACCAACGTGAATACAGGAACACAACGGTCCCTGTTTGGGAATCGACCCACTGAGCAGTGGACCCAGACTTCCCGTGCCAATCCTTGACGCGTTTCGTCCTTGTTAGGACTCATCAGAAGGACATAGGCTGAGGCTCCCGGTCCAAGCAAAATTGAACTTCGTTGACCAGTCAGAAACAACTACTCCGAGGGCAAATACCCCTACCGGCGTTGAACTACACTGATTGGTCTGAGCTTTCGTTGGCAATGAAAATTGTTAGAAATATTTTTTTCAGGTAATGACCAACGTGAATACAGGGTATTTGCCCTCGGAGTAGTTGTTCCTGACTGGTCAACGAAGTTCAATTTTGCTTGGACAGGGAGCTTCAGCCTATGTCCTTCTGATGAGTCCTAACAAGGACGAAACGCGTCAAGGATTGGCACGGGAAGTCTGGGTCCACTGCTCAGTGGGTCGATTCCCAAACAGGGACCGTTGTGTTCCTGTATTCACGTTGGTCATTACCTGAAAAAAATCTTTCTAACAATTTTCATTGCCAACGAAAGCTCAGACCAATCAGTGTAGTTCAACGCCGGTAGGGGTATTTGCCCTCGGAGTAGTTGTTTCTGACTGGTCAACGAAGTTCAATAATGATATTGGCCTATAAGATGACACATCATGAGGCTGTTTTCCGGGTTTTGGTATCATGATAATTTCTGCAACTTTCCAAAGTTTAGGTACGTATTTAGGCCTAAAGGACGCATTGAAAAGGTTGCATAATTTCAGAATAGCTTTCCTGGGGAGTTGTTTTATTACTTCCCCAGTAATTAGGTCATATCCTGGAGCTTTTTTCGGACTGATAGTTTGTTTGATCTCTGTTAATATTTCTCTTAGTGAAGTAGGCTTAATGTTGCCTTCTCCTTGATAAGGTTCATTCCAGGGAAGATTTTCATCCTGTGCTTCGTTAGGCTGGAATGTCTTTTCTAAATGACTTGCAAAAAGTTCTACTTTTTCTTCGTTACTCCTTGCCCATTGCTGATTTGACTTTCTTATGGGTGGAATTTGGGTAACTGGTCTTTTAAGGCCTTTAGTTGCTTTCCAAAGAAAATAATCAGTGCTTTTGTCGCCGGTGAGTCGTTTTTGATTTCTTGAATTTCTTGCCTTATGCGCTGCGTCATATTGTTGATAATTGTTTTGTCATGGGGATCTCGACTTTGCTGCCATTTTCTTCTTAGTTTCCTTTTTTCTAAAATAAGATCTCTAATTTCTTTTGGGTAGTTTTTTCCCTTAAAAATTCTTTTTAATTTGGGACTGTTTTCCCAAGCTGCTTGTTGAATATTAACGATAAAACAATCGACTTCTTCATCAATTTGTTGTGGCGTTCGCAACGGTACTGATAAGTTTATCTTTTCCGACAGACTTTGTTTAAAACTAGCCCAGTCCGTCAGTTTATTAACTAATGAGATAGGTGCTTTTTTCTTAATTATATATTCACTCAGAGTTAGGATAAAAGGTGAGTGATCTGAGTGTAAATCATAACTTTCTTCTATCTCCAGAAAATTTGGAGATATATTTTTTATTACGAAAAAATCGATCAGATCGGGAATTTTTCCAGGATCGGTTGGATAATATGTTGGCCTACCTGTGGATAGGGGCTGGCATTGATATTCATTAATAGCTTGCAGACGTTCCTTCTCCTTGGAATTGGTTAGTCTGGAACCCCAGTAGGTATTTTTTGCATTAAAGTCACCCCCAACTATGAATCGATTTCCCAACTTTCTAAGAAAATTGAGATATGATTTTTCTTCAATAAATGCCTTGGTGGTATATAGGCAGCAGATATGGTTAGTGTATATGTTTTGGTTTTTACACTTACTGCTGTAGCTTGAATTTCAATTGTTTTGTATTCCGTCTCTTCAATGTGAGATATGTTTTCTTTAATTATGACAGCGCTTCCTCCATGTGCTGTATTGCTAGGATGAATTGTGTGATAGACTTTATATCCTTTAAATTTAATATAGGATTGATTTGTGAAATGCGTTTCTGATATGAGGCAAATGTCAATCTTTTGTATATCTAGTATAACTTGCAACTCTTGCTGATGCTGCAAGAGCCCATTGGCATTCCAAGCTAAAATTCTAAGGTTACTGACCATTTTGACGATTGATGATAGCGCCATTATTGCTATTTTCCAGTTTAGTTAATCGCTCATCAAGTTTGTTTAATTTTTCTAAAATCAATTGCAATGTTTGTTCCATAGTGCTTTGGTTAATAGAGTTGCCACTAACAGTGGCAGGAACTGATGCTACTGCTTGGCTGTAAGTCCTTGTCGCAGAGTTTTGCGTAGCTGCGTTTCTTGGTTGTTGGCTGTGACCATTTGTGCTTGCTTGTGGTGTGGGAGTTGGCCTTTTCGGGTTATTCCTTAATTTTTGTATTTCTTTAGCTACAATGCACCCCCTATAGTTAGCTGGGTGATTGTCGCCGCAGTGGACGCATTTTGGCTCAGAATCTTTTGGTTTCGAACAGTCTACAGTGAGATGTTTTCCTGTACATCTCACATATCGTGGTTCTTTAGCGCAATATTTTTGAGTATGTCCATAAGATTGACATTTTTTGCATTGAGGGACTAATTTGGAAGTTTTTAGTGCTTTCATTTCCACTTGAGTTCCAAGTATTTTGGGAATTTCGAAAATTTTGTTGATGTCTTCATCATGGCTAAATGTTATCATAAACATGTTTAGTGGTTGTTTTGTTCTCCACTTAAGTTTGTTGGAGGCTTCCAGGGCCTTGAACCCTTTATTTTTAAGGTCAGCTACAATTTTTTCTGGATCACAGGAAAAGTGTAACCTGTTGACAATTACTCTAATTGGCCTTTCTTGTTTGTTTTCATATGAATGCCATTGAAGCTTTATTTCATTTAGCATTTTGGTGACCAGCCTGTAGCTGTCTGCATCCTGAACGTTTATTTTGATATTTTCGTTATTCAAAACTTTTATTTGGACTCCTTGTATGATATTTAACTAATCGTAAATATCGTTAAAGTTATTAACGCCATTAACCATAATCGGTGGGGGTAATGGCACCTTTTTAGCCTTGGAGGATTTCCAGTAGTGTCCGAGCCAGCGTTCTTTTGTGGTGGTGATAGCGAAGTATCCATTCGACGTTTTTTCCAGCCTTTTCCCCTTTGTCTGATCCACTCAGTTTCTTTTGCTAACTCGTCTTCGTCGGTTTGGTAGTCCATGTTGGACTCTTTTTTTTGGTTAACTTTTGTCTCTAGATCGGCAAACTTTTTTTGCATAGTTTCCAGTTGGCTCTGGAGATAATCCACTTGAATAATAAGTGGATTTTTTTCGTTTTGCGATATTTTCCATTCGCTGTATAAGGTATCTTCATTTGGTGTTCTAACATGGCTCTCCTCAAACAATGAGGCGTTTGGCATTTTTGGATTTTTTGGAGGATTTCTTTCTATTTGAAAAACAAGCTTTACAGGTGACGACGTAACACTTTTTTTCTTTTTAAACATAATATAATATTACCAAGTGACATGTTTAAATGAACTTGGCCCACTTTATATATAACGCGCGAATGTTAAACAAAAACA